TTGGAAATATGAAAAGTTCCTATTTCAACACACATTTGATGCGTGTTGAGATTGAGTTTTGTCACGTTTCCTAATTTATTTGCGTCACAAAGTGTTTATTTAGCTCAAGTCATGGTTTACCGGGTTTGGTTTGCATTCGTTGAAGAAAAGGAAGAATTCGGACCTGACATCGGCGTTTGAGCTCAAGTTGAGGAGATTCGTGATGCGTTTGAGAGATAGTGAGAGGCATCAGAGGTCCACGTGATGATTTAGAGGCATGATTCAAGGCTTGGAAGGTTAAAGATTGAAGATAGGATCGATCGGGAGAAAACGGGGGAGAAAAGAGCAAGAAAACGGTTCAAGAGTCATCTGCACGCCCCGCGGGTCAGTACCACACGCCGCGCGGTTGATTCTGAGAGCTAGAAGTCAAGAAGTCTGAACTGCATGCCCCGCGGTCCAGAACACCCCTCAGAAGTGCGGGGGGAGCAACAGTCAGTGCATCATTATTTTTTCGCACACCCGCACGCCATGTGGTCGACCGTGTACTACAGTTTTTGGCCAAATTTAGACTTTTTCTATAAATAGGCCCTTGTTTTGCCTATTTTTTTAGACCGGAGCTTAAAGAGATAAACCTTATTTCAACTTTTGAGAGCTTTTTCAGCCTCGTTCTTCAAGATTGAGGAATTCATTGTAAATTCCATCTTTTTAATTAATTACAATTAATTATTTTCATCTCAATTCTATTGATTCTTCAATTATGAGTTGTGAGTAGTTTTAACTAGGGATTTGGGATTGATGAAGTGGTTAATCATGATGTATGACTAATTTTTTGATGGTTTAAATTGCATGAATCTTTATTTAATTTATGTATGAATTGATTTAATTGATATATCTTGTAACCTAGAATGGCCACTAGAATTATAATTGCATGTAAAATAAATTAAGAGAGATCTAATTTGTTCTAGGACACCTTCACACACACTTAATCGTCCGCTAATAGATTAGCAACGATTAAGGGGTCGTACGCTCGTTCATTTTGGCAATAATTTAGATACTTGTCGCATGAGAGATCAGTCTGGTTCCCTAAATTATTGTACTCTACGCCGCGAGAGCGGTAAGAACTTAGTATTGATTAGTGTTGCTCAATTGGATAATATTCATGTGATTAAGTAAGATCAGCCAGAAATCTGATTACCCTCAAATCAATCCATGTTCCCTTCGTCGTCATTTAGAAAGAACCAAGCTATTTTTATTCGTTTGTTGCATTTTAATTTTCCAAACAATCAAATCTCGCACCATTGCTTTTATTCAATTTCTTTTTATCGTTGAATTTAATTAATACTTAATTCCCTTTTTCCGTCCCTGTGGAGACGATACTCGTACTAAAACCCTATATTACTACATCTTTTTAAGTGCGAGAAAACTCACATCAGAATACCCGACCCGTAGGTCATTGTTTATTTGGGAAAATAGTAGTAGTCAATGTCCTTGACTTAAATCCCAACCTACCCATATATCTATGAGTGTATAAGACTCCTCCTGGTCCAAATCGATTATCATAAGGACACCGCCCAGTTCTGAATTACTAAACTGAAATCTATGAGTTTTGAGAATACACACCCGATCCTTGGGTACTCCACCTTACATAACCGAGTTTAGAGGATACACACCCTATCCTTGGGTACTCCACCCTACATAACCGAGTTTAGAGGATACACGCCCTATCCTTGGGGTACTCCACCCTATGTAACTGAGTTTTGAAGATACACGCCCGATCCTTGGGTACTCCGCCCGATCTATGATCTACCTCATATCATATTAGATAGGGTCTATATCATAATCAATAATCAAGACTAAACCAAGTCTTAAGGTCTAAGCATAATCATCCATGCAAACCATGCATTAAAATCAACGTATAGTATGGGCAAACCAACACCAAACCAGCACCGGTTCAGACCTGACCAGCGCCGGTTCATAATTTATTAAATAGAACCAGGCACCTCGTACCCAAACCGGCGCCGGTGCCACCCATAACTGACGCTGGTTGCCCCCTGGGCACCCGGTCAACTCTTCGTTGACCCGCCATTTTGAATCCAATTCGTGTCACACTTAATCACAACGTGTATAAAGTTATAAGCAGCCATTTTATGCCCTTTTGGTTCTTCAAAACATCACATATGTTTTCATAAACATTTTCATATCATATTTCATGCATATCTCAATAGTTCATTTCATATAAGCTTAATCACTTTGGCTAATCGATCACATGTTTAAACTCTTTTAAACATCATTATGAACAAATATAACATTTACATAGGTAATCTGATAATTAACTCAAGAGTTACAAGACATTAAGTTGTCCACTCACCTCGAATGAGCTTTAAGAAGTTCTGCCTTTCTCAGTTGAACTCTGGCGAAACTCCGGCGAACTTTGTTGAACTCCGGCGACAACTCCGGTGACTCTTTCAACTCCGTGAAAGTACTAGGAACACCTTAGACAAGTTCCTAACAGGGTTTTATCATCACAAAACCCATATCAATACAAATTATCTCTAAAAGGTTATTTTCCGGCGAACCGGTCACGTTGACTTCTAAGTCCGTTCTTAGACTTAGAACTACCTTCCAACCCTTCATTCTACACTTCTTAACATATAGAACAATCCTATGGGTACTTCATATGATATATTAGTCATATGATAATCAAATGATGAAAAAAGTTACTAAAGAGCTTTTCACCTCTATCATTAAGGTTTTTCTCTATTTTGCAACCTTTTATTCTTCCTTAAGCTTCTTGCTTGCTTGAGCTCCCTTGGTTATGGAGAAATGGTGTTTGTAGGGATGTTCTCTCTCTTGGAGTGGCTTGGTCGAGCTTAGTGATAGGGGAGGGGTGAGGTAGACTATTTTTGTCTCAACTCTCAAATGCACAATAAGAGAGGGGTGAGGTCCACCTCAAGTCCCTTCTCGATCACCCAATCCCTCAACCTACAGCCCATAGCCCTTTCATCTCACATTATTTGGTTGTCTCAAATTGACTTTGAGCACACAAAAACGTGGGGTGGCCCCCACTCATGTGGGAGGTCATCCCAATGTGTCCCGGATTGTACAACCGGTCCTGAAAGTTATATTTCTCGTACTGTTTTAATTATATATTTTATTATAACGGGTCAAATAAAATATATCTCATGTTTTCAATCACTACGGACCTTTAGAATGAATATATATTCCCCAACTTTAATTTAAAAGTCTCCGAAATTCATTTCGGGTTGTTATCTGATAAATTGTTAATACCGGTAATTGGGCCTCGTTTGACCAACCGGTCAATCCTATGTCTTTTCCATGGCCGAACTAGAATATCCACCACCATATACGTATTATATATCTAGATCAAGATGAATATAATATGTGGTCCCGAAAATATTGGGTAGTCCCCGTTCTTGGTGTTGGCCCCACCTACATATTACTATTCACGCAAAAGAACTAACAAAAATTTACAAAAAATTACTATTCTTTAAGAATACTTGGGGATGGTGTTGCAACATTAACCCGTCAACTCACCTCAAATGAGCTTTAAGAAGTTCTACCTTCTTCGATTAAATCCGGCGAAACTTCGGCGAACTTTGTTGAACTCCGGTGATACCTCCGGTGACTCTTTTGACTTCGTAAAAGCACTAGGAACACCTTAGACAAGTTCATAACAAGGTTTTAACATCTCAAAACCTATATCATTACAAACAACCTTAAAAGGGTTACTTTCTGGCTAACCGGTCATTTTGGCTTCTAAGTCCGTTCTTGGATTTACAACCACCTTCCAACCCCTAATCTACACTCCTCAGAACTACCCTAGGGGTTCTTCATATGGTATTTTATGAGAAGAGAAATGGAGCTTAAGAGATCATTACCTTGATTCTTAGGTTTTTCTCCTCTTTTCCGTACTCTTTCTTCTTTTTCAGACTCCTCCTTACTTGAGTATGTTCTTGGCTATGGAGATAGAGGTTTGGAGATCCTTCATTCACTCTTCCTTGGTGGTTTGGTCTAGTTTTTTAATTGTACGAGGGTTTGATTAAATGAATTTTCATTAGGAGAATCAGATTGACTCTTTTTAAAAATTGAGGAATTTATTTGATGGTTTTCCCTCCCTAATTTTAAGCGCAAATTATACCCTACAACCGGCACACCATGAGGACGGTGTGCCGGGTCCTAAAAAAGAAAAAAAAACAGAGCATCGATCATCTTCCGCCGCGGCAAAGCAGAGCAACACCAAGTTGGAGCATCTGCTGGGTCTTCTCCTTACTGCGCTTCTCCTTCACCAACATATATCCCAAATCCCAATCTGATTAGAAAGCAACTATGATCTTCAGATGTGATCTCCCTAGTGTTGTCATATCCTGGAACCAACTTCTCCTCATCTTTGTATGATTAGAAAGCAACGATGATCTCTGATTTCTGCCCAAGCATGAGTGTGTGTGTGTATATATATATATATATATATGGAGTGTGTATATATATTAATTAATACATGGAGTTACATCTCTGTAAAAGCGTTTTACATTTCAAAAGATTAAAGTTACATATGTTAAGTTACATCTAATTTGTTTCTCAAGTTAAGATGTTTTTACTTGGACTGTAATTTGCCCCAGACCAGACCAGACCAGACCAGTCCAGACCAGACCAGACCAGTTCAGACCAGACCAGACCAGACCAGACTTGGATAGTTATAAAAATACAAAGAAACCAGACCTTACCAGACCAGACCAGACCAGTTCAGACCAGACCAGACCAGACCAGCAAATTACAGTCCAAGAAAAAACATCCTTACATTTCAATAAAAACAATTTACATTTCAACGAGTTACATGTGAATGAGTGCAATTTACATTTGGATTAACATGAAGTTACATCTGGAATCACACGAGTTACATTTCATACAACCATGGGTGCATGGTGCTCACCATGCACCGGTTGCACGGTATATGGCCTGAATTTTAAGAGATGGTGGTATTCTCTGGAGTAGACTTTCTTTTCCGGGGAAAGAATAAATGGAGCAAGCGTTAAAGATATGGGTCGGTTTTATCCGGCCCGTGTTAGAAACGTGTCATCCCCTGACTTTCTACACCCACTAGGCCACAACGACCAATCCCATTACTCTCTTGCACCACCACCGGTCCTCCTCCGCCGCCGCCACTTCTGCAATCAGCCCTTCATAAATTGACATCTCCTTCACCTCACCCTCCTCCTCCTCCTCCATACAACCCACAAGCACAAATGGCCGGCCGCTCCTCCCCAGCACAGGATTCCGATCGGTACGGTCAATCCTCTCCCGAAACCCTATCCTCGCCCCACAAAAAGAGCCCTCCCCTCCCTTGGACCCCCCAAGAGACGGTCAACCTCATCCAATCTTACAGAGAGAAGTGGTACTCTCTCAATCGCGGCCAGCTCAAGGCCAGCCAGTGGGAAGAGGTCGCTATAGCCGTTGCGGCCCGCTGTGGATTCGATGAGCTTTCCAAATCCTCCACCCAGTGCCGCCACAAGATCGAGAAGCTCCGGAAGCGCTACAAATCCGAGCGGGTCAAGCCCTACCCGAATTCCTGGCAGTTTTTCGAGCTCATGGATCAAATGGAACGAGGACCTTTGCCAATCGCTGCTCTCCCCGTAGCCATGGTAAAGTATCCCGACTCGAATTACGATCACAATGTGTACGATGAGGAGGATGATGGGTATGCAGGTTTTGATTTCAAGCCAAATAAGTCGAAGAGCATAAACAACCTTGTGAATTACCCGAACAGAACTGGTACTCATGATCCCAGGGGTTATGATGAAGAGGAGGAGGAAGAGGAGTTGGATGAACATGGGACAGAGGAGGAAGATGGAGACAGTAAATTGGCAGAGGAAATTAGGGGTTTTGCAGAGGGGTTTATGAGAATTGAGAAGAAGAAGATTGAGATGATGAAGGAGGCTGGGAGGCACAGAATGGAGATGGAAAAGAGGAGGATGGATATGATTCTTGAGACGCACAGGAAGATTGCTAATTCTTTCAGTAGGATCTTTATTCCAAATAAAAGAGTCAAAACAGAGATATAGAATGTTATTGTTCTACTTACATCCACATTTATGCAATCCATTTTTTTCTTGCATTTGCCTTTGCACTGCTATTAGGCTGATGATGATTCTGGGGTACAAAAAGATAGGAACCAATGTCTTCATGTGTTTCAAAATCAGAGGAGCTTATGATGTCATTCTATCGCGAATGCCATCATACAAGTCATCTTGGGTCTTGTCTTTGACTCCAAGACCTCGGGTCATGACTTCGTTTATAGATGTAATTTGCATTTATGAATGATGGAAACTGTATCCTTACGGGCTCTAGTTTGTAATTTGCAATAACTTAAGAATGTTATTTTATGTTTTAAAGGATTGTGGCAATGGTAGACATTTAGCATACTTCGATTCCTCTAACTTATGGGAGGCCTTGAACTCGAACTCTCCTCTGTTGGTCTGGTCGTGATAGTTGACCCTAGCAATGCCAGGAGGGGCTATGTTGGACACGGGCATGTTCACTGTGAAAGACTTATGATGATGATGATGATGATGGGAACTCGGTAATTTTGATTATGGGTTTGGTAAGAGTAAGCTGTGTGGAAAGCTGTTCACATGGATTCAAGCATACTTTGTAAAGAAGGTGAGTTATCATCTTAGACTTTATTCTTCTCATGAATTCAAGCATGCTTTGTTTGAGGGAAACCCTTTTGCGGATTGCCCAGCAAACTTGGCTTATGACACTTTGAGTTGGCTCCTGGCTTGTCATCCAGAAGAGCGTCAGCACCTCAATACCTCATGTGGGAAGCCTATGGCGGCCTTATAAGCTATACGGAGTAACACATTAGATTCAACTATTAGGTAGTTTTTTTAATCTTCAGCTGTACGATAAAAGCAAAGTAAGCATGCTACTTGTTTACAAGTTGAGTAATTCCGTTGTATCAATAAAATTTATTTACGTAGTATGAGTTAAATACTTAAATGTTGCCTTATTTCAACATGTTCAGTTAGATACCATACTACTACGTATGATACTACCACCGTTAAATAATAATAAAATCAATCATCTGTTTGTCCTATGAAAGCAAGTTGGTTTTTAGAGTAGCTCTCGGTTTTAAGTAAATTTTTTGTAAAAGTCTAACAAGAAGAGGATTTAGTCAACTACTTCAGTTAATCAAATCTTAGAAACAAGTTTTACGGGGTATAAAGAACATTCTAACAATTTGCTAAAGCTTTTAAACCATTGCTTGAGTTGATTGAAAATAAGAAGTCAAATAGTTGAAAGTATATATGTTCTATAATACTCTGTACATAGTTTGACATGCTTTTTTTCAATTTTACACTACACGAAGTATATGTTTAGGTATTCCAAAAAGAGTTGAAGGGTATGTAACTACAAGCATATATATAGCCTATAGGGGTAAATTCATTACAAACTGTATTTATTGTGCAAAACTTTATATGATGTATTTTTACGTTATTTATATTGCAGATTGATGTTCAAAGTGTTGCATATTATTCTGCGATGAAATACACAATTGCATATAAAAGCTCAAGGTGTTGCATTAAAAAAAATGATTTTATTACCAAAATGTCATCGTGCCTTTTCAGCCTTTAGATTAATTCAATGGATGATCAAAATGAGTTTGTAGTTTATAAATTGGAAGGGGTATGTATTTGATCCTTTATCTGGGCGAAGATCTCGTACAAACTAGGCTTCTTGTGCAACCTACAAATCAATAGCATTTGCTCGATTGGAGAACACGTACAACTTTTCGTATGGGATGCATTTTTAAGAGTGCAGTCACACGCAGGGAATAAAATGAAAACCTCATATGAACTATTAAGTATGTTAAAAGGATATGAAGGTAATTTAACAAAACAAAAAGTAACCCGCCAACATCAAAATCGGGGTGAACTTTGAAAATCTATAATTTTACGGTTAGCATTCACTAATAAGGCAATTGCCCACAAATAATAGTAGTAAACAAGGTAAGTTGTAGACAAGTGTCGATTGAAAAGACGGTGACAAACGCGCTACAAGCTTGGCAAGAGGATTTTAATTTTTTAGTGAGGAAGGAAAGGTGAACGATGCAAGGAGAGAATGACTTCTGTATAAATGAAACATTTTTTGTGTGGAATACAAAATGAGCTTGATAAAGGTACTCGTTTATAGGTTTTGGTGAGTAAATATTGATTAAAAATTGTAATATGAATGCAAGTTTAATTCGACCATTGAATTGCATATTACTGAGAATTTTAGTTTTGATGATGTTTTAGGTGATTTTGAGGAGACATATTTCATAGTTGAAATTGTAATTGAAATACAATTATGAATAACAAATATGAATAAAAAATGATAAATATTAAATGAAATTATCATTCATACCACAACAAATGATAAATTTACTAGTAACAACAATATTGGACCAGTGAAAGCTTTGCCCATTGCTTGTTCTCATTCCAATTTCTTCTACACGAGAGTTAAAACACATACTCGCACCAATCTATACCTTTAATTACTTTTGCGCCTTCCGATCTGATTATGAATTGATAGTTTTTATACCCTCTTTTTGTGTTTCATATCAATGTAAATATCACTAGAACAATAAAGTGTCTGGAAAAAGTTAATCCCCTCTCTCCTTTCATCTTATCATTGCAATGATCACCTCAATAAGAATAATTTTTTCCTTTGAAACATACAAAGCCCCCCGCTCATCTGGCATTGTACTTTTTCCTTTTTCCATTTTTCACAATTGTAACTTCACGACAAGGATTCCTTGTGCAATCTCAACATCTTCATCGGTCATGTGAACTTTAGCTAGCTTGTTATCAACATGATTCTTAAGTGTGCAACTCCTAGAGTCAAAGTTGCCCACAATCCAATTCTCAAGTTTTGATGGCAATTCTAGGATCTATAACTCCAACATTGCTCCAAATTCTACTTTAATAAGCTTGTACCTTTGCTTGTCATTCAACTTAGTTATTGCATGGACATTAACATTGAGTGATGATCTAGTATACAAGCTCGTATCTTAATAAAATCTTGGTAAATGTCCCCCGGCATTTATCCCACTGATTTTGGTGGTTTGCCTTCCGGGGTAAATATATATATATATATATATATATATATATATATATATATATATATATATATATATATATATATATATATATATATATATATATATATATATATATATATATATATATGCACAAAAAAAAAGTATCCAAGCTCGTATATTGATCCTTTATCTCCTTAAAAGCACCATTTTTCTATTGCTCTTTTCGTGTCGCTTGAACTGCACCGCCTTTGTTTATCAAAGTGTTTAGGGGACATTCAAAAGTTTCTTCTCTATCACTCACACTTGTTTTCATTACCTTTCAACACAGTCTTGTCTTATTTTGCATAAATATCACTTTCCTCTTCACCGTCATTCACGACTTCACGTTTTAGCTTCCCATTCATTGTTTTATGTGCCTTACCGTTGCTATTTGTGGCTGATTACCTTGTTAGTGGATGGTAACCATAAAATTCAAGATTCCCAAAGTCAATTTTGATTATTATGTTGGCGGGTTACTTTTTGTTTTGTTAAATTACCTTTGTATCCTTTTAACTTAATAGTTCAAATTGAGTTTTCCATTCTTATTCCCTCCATGTGAGTGCACCCTTTTAATAATGCATCTCGTATGGAAAGATGTTCGTATTCTCCAATTGAACGGATGCTATTTATTTGTAGTTTGCATCGGAAATATATTTTGTATGAATCTCCCTCTGAATTTGGTTCAAGAATGCTTTTATAGTGTGGATTTGTATATGGCACTTTCTAAGAAATGTGAATGGTTCTTGTATATTGAATGTTATGTATTCTATTAAAAAAAATGGATCAATTGAACGGACACCAGAACTCCTAAATATCCAATTGAGGTAAGGGTCAATTGACTACATCAATTTTTATGAGGTGAAGTAAAAAATACATTATGCATTTGATTTTTTAAGTACACAAATTCGGGGTTTTAGTGTTAATTGAGTACACTCGTTAGATTAACACGTTAATACGGCGGAGTAGGCTCACAAAGTGCCAATAGATCGACTTCTTGAAGGTCGATGCCAGCCCCAACCCCTTGATCGACATCAGTCCCCTGCTGGCCGACGCCTCTCGCAGGTCGACCCCCGAAGGTCGATTTTTCCTTTTTGGTCAACTTCGTGAAGGTCGGTGCCATAACCTTGGTCCATTAACCATTCTTACTCAACATTCTGTTAGTTAATTCAGTTGTTTAACGTGTTAATCTAACAAGTGTATTCAATTAACACTAAAATCCCGAAGTTGTGTACTTAAAAAATAAAATGAAATATAATGTAGAGTTAATTTGAGTTTGCACCCCATATTATTGCCTAAATTGGACTTTGGAGCCCGTTTTAAAAAAACTTTGTTTTTGCACCCGTCCGTTTGACAATAATGCCCCTCCATTAACAATTTTGTTGACCTTCAATATATTCTTTGTTTTTTTTATCTTTTCATATGAGGTTGAGCTGTAAAAACAAAGATTTTTAGAAAAGAGGTGCAAAATTCAATTTAGAGAATAATATGAGGCGCAAATTCAAATTACCCATTTAATTATACTCCCTATTTCTTTCCCATGGTTAGGCTACCCAACTTCTTTTCTAAGTTCAAAGCTGCGATTGCAATTTCTTTTTTCGACAATCTTTTCTTATGTCTTCTGCAATCCCTGGACTTGATTGATTGTTGATGAAAGCAAAGGCGACAATATAGTCTGAAAGTGGCGACGCAAAGCCTCGTATTCTAGATTTTCTATCAAGCCTTCTGATTCAACTTCTGGGCAATGGCGACCTACAACAGTAATGTCTCAATTACAGTTTCCGACGGAGAATCCGACGAGCTAGCCGGGAGAATAATGACGCGAGTCCGACGGAAGCGGAAGAAACCGATGAGCCGAGGAAAGAACCGATTCCCACGACGAGTCATCCAGCTGCTTCTCAAGTGGTGGCATGTCCCTTTCTTTGTTTTGGCTGCTGGACTTCTCATCTTTGAGGCTTCCCGTATCAATTGGAAATCTGGTCCCCATGTTAGAACAGATTCGGATCCGAAAAAACAGGAAATGAGAAAACCGTCTGAGAATTTGGGTCGTATGGATCCAGTAACTCATGTTCATGGTGGAGTTAGAGAACGTGAGTTTCTCCTTACAGTATTTCAGTATTGCGGAGTAGTTTTTACCCGTAGGTTGAAGTAATTGGTAATTGTAGCCTTAACTCTTAAGATGCTATTGTTTTCTTCTTCTTCTTTTGCCAGTGAAGTATTTGTGTTTAAATTGCCTAAGCAGGTGTTTCTTATTTACTTTTTGCGCTCTAAGTACTATCTGATCCTTAGTTATCTCCTTTTCAAAGATCTCTGCTTAAGTAATTCTCCTGGACTATTGTTCTTGAGTATTTTATTATAAAGCTGACATACAACTTTCTACCTGAGGTCTGTACTAATGAATATGGAGTACATTTTATGGTGTCTACTGTAATACAAAGCTGTATAGGTTCACACTTTTGTCAGTAACTATTAACTCAACAGAATTTGGTTTCACCTGTTGCTTACATGAGTTAGAATTTGGTTGACATAATAACAGTGATTATCTTATAGGCCTCGTTTCGCCTTTATTGATTGTTTTAGGTTGCTTGAAGCTCTTATCTCCTGAAAAACTTGAGCAACTGGATTTTCCAATCGAGAATTCACATATCGAACCAATTAAAAGTGTAGTATACCTATCAGATGCTAACAAAGGAGGTGACCTGGCACTGCTTCAACAGTTCTCAAACTCTAGCAGATTTAATTTATTCACAGGAGGTCAATCACTTAAGCAAAGGGATGAAAGCTTTAAGGTTAGAAAATTTCACATTTTATTTTCACCTCCCACCCATGTTTACTTTTAGAGTTTTATAATTCTATCCGAGAAACAGTAAGAAAGAGAGTAGATATTTTGTCTTGTTTAGTAGGAGAGAAATGGAGAAGAATAGGTATGCAATTGAGATGAAACACATTTCTCTCCTACTTCTCCCCTATAAGAGAGATG